CTCTGCATCTAAGAAGTGAAACCTCTATAAACTGCAGGCTACAATAAACTTTGGCAGCAAGAAGATAGCTTTGTGGCATAAGTGCCTGCCTGGCAAGTGCAAGGTCCTGAGTTCGATCCCTCGCGCTAAATAAATAACCTTTTTCTCTGTTACCTTTCGGTGCCGAGTATTTTGTCTCAGCAAGGAGAAAAGTAACCATGATAGCTGGAAACTCCACAGCAACAGCCAAGCACAGCATCCGTCCTGTGATCTCTGACCTTCTTGGTGGAGTTAGAGCTGCTTGGGGGCCCTGCCCCACCACCATACCCCAGGAAGGCGCAGCAGTCGGGGCCAGCACAGCTCCACTTCCTGCAGCCAGAAACAGACAGGAAGGGGACCTGGGATCTGCAGGCCTCCTGGACCAGCGCCACACTGCCAAGCCACCAGAGCACACTGGTGTGCCTGTGCCCTGCAGTCATGTTGTTTTGTTCTGAACGTTTCCGCCCCCAGAGTCAGATGCTGAAACTGTAACCCTCGGGTGAGGGGATTAGCAGGTAGGGCCTTCAGGTCACAAGCACAAGCCCTGCCCAAATGGGTTAGAAGCCTGCAAGAAGCGACCCCAGGAGAAGACAGGCGTCCTTATCTGGGAGCTGGAGGAAGCCCCCAGGCATGGTGCCACCTGCGCATAATCCCGACACTGCAGGGCTGAGGCAGAAAGATAGGAAGTGCAAGGCCAGCTTGGGGTGTTTTGCTTTTGTTTTCTTTTCTGTCAGTTGTTTTAGTCTTTGGAGACAGAGTCTCACTATACAGCTCAGGCTGGCCTGGAACTCACTTTTTAGCCCAGGATGGTCTCCAACTCACAATGATCCTCCTGCTTCAGCCTCCACATGCTGGGATTACAGGTGTGTGCCATCACTCCCAGTGGTCTTGCTGTGTTTTGGTTTGGGAGGATTTTTGTTTGGTTTTGAGTTTTTTAAGACAGGGTCTCTCTATACAGTTCAGGCTGGCCTTGAACCCATTATGCAGCCCAGCCTAGCCTCCAACTCTTGGTGATCCTCTTGCCTCAACCTCCCACCTGGATGCATAACAAGTTCAAGACCAGCCTGAGCTATGTAGGAAGACCTTGTCTTTAAAAACAAAATTAAATAAAGAGGGAGAAGAAGGAGAGGGATGAGGAGGACAAGAAGGGGGAAGAAGAGGAGTAAAATGAGGAAGAAGAGGAAAAGGAGAAG